TATCATACCTCTCATTCAGATAGTACTGCCTTACATATTATCTATTCTTCTACAAATATTTTAATAAATGTTAAGATCTTATTGATTCTATCAGATGTACAGTGAAGGGGCAGAAAGCACATTTTCATTTAAACAAGGGATTTATACAACCAACTGTGGTCTTTTACCATTTTTATGCACTTCACAGCCTGTGTTCTAATTTTAAATTAGGGATCTGATGTGTATATTTATACATAGCCATACTTGAGTCAACCTGTAACTGTAAGCCTTTGGGAGAGATTGTGTTGGAACATCTGGACTTACCACATGTTTTCAGTTGGAAATGATAGATCATTTAGAAACTGTAGGTTTCAAAAAAAGAAGATGTGGTGATAACATTCTATAGGTGTTCCAGATGATGAAAATATGATTAGGGATATGTTGTAGCAAACGGGCATAAAATGGTATTACAAACTGAATTCATCTTGCTAAAGTGCTAGTCAGATGTCTTTCCTTTACTCATACAATTAAATGTTCTGATTACTTCTTGAACAAAATAATACCAAATTGAATTATATGACAATCTACTTCTATATTTTCTGTGAAAAAATCAATGAGTATTCGCATTCCATGAAAGTAAAGTAATTTAGGAATAGTATCAATTTTCAAGAACCCCAAGTCATATTTTGTGTTTATTAAACATAGATTAAGCAATACATACTCTTTTGAAGTGCTAATATAATCTCTTTTAATCACAACTAGAAGTTTGCCTTCATTAAATAATTGCCTAATGGTTGGTATGTTTTCTTATAAGACTTAAAAGAGAATGTAGATTCCAGTGTTCTCTTGCAAAATTTGAATTACTCTCCCTATTGGAACCCTATGGTTTATATTTACAATGTATGTATCCATCAGCAGAAACTAATTAATTGGAATATGTTACCTTCTAAGAGTAACCTTCAAGCTTGTAATATTTGCCTGTGCAGATTAAAGAAAAACACTGGGAGCTAATTTGAAAAGAACTCTTCTAAAATGTCAGAAACCCTTTAATCTGATAAAGAAAGTTCATGTATGGAAAACTCTTTAATCCCTGACTTTTCTTACACTACAAAGTGAACAATTTAACCTTTCTCCATATTTGCAAGTCCATTTCCCTTGTCATATACACTGCATTATATAACATCTGAATTACTGAATATTCTAAACTGGTTTGCTATCTTGCATGGACACAGTTCTAGGAAAGGAAATGAATGGACACTTTATTTTAAAATTAGAATTTTTCCATTTGAGAGTTCATGCGTATACATCTAGTTGTCACTGCAAATCCACTTCACTTCCTGGTGGTTAGGTTGCTAAAGAAGTATGGAAACAATAATTTTTGTGTTATATTAATGGCCTTGAATGTATTTAAACAGACTTGATCTTCAAAAAAGTATTTTTGCTAGGTTTAGGGATAAACACTTTTAAAACTAATAATTCATCTTATGTTTTAGCATTTTTATTGAATATTTTTTCCTATACCAGCACTCCTTGAAGCAGAGCACACCTGTTACTATATTTTTAAAGTTAGTTGTATAATATGTGCACCAAAGTATTATTATTTGGTAAAAAAATACAGATCAAATTCCTTTTTGTATTGGTTGCTGACAGCTACTTTCAGGCTTCTGTTAAAAGACCTTTAAAACTTAGACAAATAATTGACTTCAAAATAGTCAACCAGCATTTTACAACTATGATTTTTTTTAACTTGTTTGAATAGTCTCTTATAGTTTACAACAATTATTTTAGTCCAAAAATTTTCTTCCTGAGGTTCAATACTTAACCTGCACTTGTGGGTATAGAAGGAAGATGTTACTTCTTATTTCTACCATATCACTGGGAACAACAGGAATCTTGGATATCCAGGACACACCCCATAGTCTGAGAATATTCTGAAGTCAAGTAACTGAAACAGAAAACTAGCTGGAGATCTCTCATTCTATATTCTTGCTTGTTAGTTCAGGATGTTTTAATTGTAGCTCTTTCTATTTGTACTTCAATATAAGAGCCATCATGCAAAAGGCTTGGAATTATGTTCTATTTTTGTATTTTTGATTTGTAAGTTCAGAGAAACCATTCGAAGGGAAAGATTCATATGATATTTCAAAACCATCAAAACAAAATTCCTATAGAAAATCAAGAGGGGGCATTTCAATAGATCCTTGTCACATCAATGAAAACAGAATTTATTCCATAAGTTATAAACAGTTGATGTAATATACATATTGAAAACAGAGTTTAAACTCCTGTCAGGTAACAAGGAAATAAACTTCAATTTTTTGACTATTGTTATAGTAGCTAAAGCCTCTAAACTAACTTAGCCATATGCTGTCTTAGCTAGTAGATTCCATGACACATTCAAACTCACAAATAATGTCACAAATAATGTAATTATGACTCTGTAATCTAATCTCAAATAGCTAAAGATCCAGATAGACAGCCAACTTGTCATCTAGCGCAACATAAAATGTTATTGGAAGGAAACTTTTTCTAAACTTTCTCATTAGAAATTTGAAGCTATAAAGCTTCAAGCTGAGAACAGGAACACATTCCTGCCAATATGTTTTTGGCAAATTTGGGATAATTATTTAAAGGTGTTATTAATAGGGTGATTATTCCCATAATTAAAACAAAGTTACTTTCTAAAATAGTTTAAAATTCCAGGATCCTGAAAATAATGTTAATTTTAGTTTATTCTTATTAGACAAATTAAAAGTTCTTACGTGGTTGGAAAAGCTAGAGGATTGGGGGAAATGAAGACAAAATGAACATGACACTGAATTTTTAGAAGTCATGTATCATGCATCCTGCTCTGATGTAGGTAAACATAGTGAAGTTTCTTTTATAATATATCGAATAAGGAAATCTAGACCACGTTGCTAGGAAAAAATTGGGAAAAAACTGGGAAAAAATTGATGAGTGGGATAAACAATGTGGGGTAATTTCAATTTTAAAACTAACTTTGTAATTTTAAAACTAATACAGAAAAATCCAAAACAAAAGCCTGTGCATCATTGAATATTTGCATTCCTCAGAAAGAAAACTCCCCAGAGTTAGGTGGCTCAGATAAATACTCAGATAAATACATATTAACAAACTTATAAAAATCTAAGTACTGTCCAAGAAACTTTTCTAACTTTAGCAGCACAAATCTTTAAGCAAAGATAAAATTTTAGTAACCTTATAACTAAGTAAGTAAAAAGAACAGTTATTTTTCAACCAGATATTTAGCCATTAGTATTTCGTTCATGTCTGTGAGTTGGTATTCTTGAAAGTTGGTATTTTTTTTCCCATGCCAGTCATAAAAGGAGTATAGCATTTACTCTGTTTACTGAAAATATTCTGCCCTTTAAAACTGTAAACCTCCTCTCTACTTTGTCATCATTCACTTTCTTCTGTGATATTGTACATCAACTTTTCTTGATTTTTTTTTTTTTTTTGTAGTGCACTTTAGGACAAACTTTAAAAGGGATTATTTACATTCATGCCGGTTACCAACTTCCCAATAGTCCTAGAAATGTCACTGTAGTAATAATACTTTTCTCCCTTAATTTTCAGATTCTCAGTCAATTGAATATTTTACATACACTCCCCTGGGATTTAAACCTTTTGTAAGTGAAATTCGAAAATGAAAAAAGTTGTCCACAGGAACAAGAATCACAAGTCTTCCAATGAATTATGTATTTTGCATGCAAATGCTTCTATTTTCACAATATTTTACTGTAACACATGTGTTCTTCTAAGATTTCCTTTAATCTTATGCTACATATTTTATTGTAAGTAAGAGTTAAAACCAGTAACTACATATCAATGTAATTGTTCCAGATTACTAGTATTTAAATACTGGATGTCAGGGAATTGATCATGATCGACTAATATAGTATGCAAATAATAGAAAGAACTTCATGTATCAACAAAGATAGAGAACATATGTATTGATTGGGGTTAGTTTAAGTTAATATGTCAAGTAAAGTATCTTTATTATTAAGATTGTCTAGTTCTTATAGTTCAGACCATAAGCAGCAATGCAATTAGACTTCGAAATTATGTGGACCCTGAATGGGACAGCAGAATGTAATCCAAGTTACAAGGGGTTAGCACTCTAAAATGTCCTTGTCAAAACTTAACAGAGCAAAATTTTACAAACCTGTTGATAATATCACTCCTATAGTCTCTCTAGGTACACATAGCACATCCTCAATATGTTTCTGTGGTTACAGTTTTCTCATCAATATCAGCAACATTGAGATGACTTGACCTCATCTAAGAACTAATCTTATTTTAAAAAATGATAGGTAAAGATAGAAAAAAGAGTTATGAAAACAAAGGTAAATTTTAATTAAAGAACAAACTTGAGACTGATATTTTATGAACTTCCTTGCATTTTCACTTAATATCACTTCACATTTGTTCATGATATATGTTCACACCAGTGCCTTCTCTGTAAGGTTATCATAGCACATGCACTGAATAAGTAAATTACCCCTACCCTGTAATGATCTGATCAAACTCTACAAGTAATATGCCTCATCATTGGTTCCCCAAACTATAATAGTTTAAAAAAAATTACAAAGCACATATGCAGCATAACACTGTAGCCAGGGATGAATTACATCTTATAGACAAATGATAGCAAATAATTTGGTACAATTAGAAATTATATATGTGTGTGTGTGTGTGTGTGTGTGTGTGTATAGTGAATGGCCTCTTAGATCACAGTTTGAGATCAAGTTCTTAACTATGAACTCAGAGCTCATGGAAATGAAAACAATCACATATATTCCTCTTAGAAAAGAATTAGTAGTTATTCCTGAATTTAATTGCAGTTTTTCTTTAAGAAAATTATTTATTTGAGGAGAGACTAATAATCAAGCAAGAAAAGCAGGTCCACATAAACCAGGCATTATATTAAAAGTGATCAGTAATTAAGTATGTGCAACTACAATGATGTCACAAATAGATCAATCTTAACTGCATCTTACCTGTAGTAGAGGAGCGTCTTGACAGTGTGGAGTGTCGGAAAGATGCAAGTCTATAAATTAGAGAACAAGGGGTGTTTGCACTCCCAGTTTTTGCAGAGCAGGAGTGTTCTATGCATAAGTAATAAATTGCCTCTTCAAAGTCGTCCTGACCGCGGTGTTCGTGGGCAATAGTTAGAATCTCTGCCGGAAAGCTTGCTGGTGCTGATGCTGCAGCCTCTGCCTTTGCACAGACCTAACATGTGAGCGTGCTGGAGAGCATCCTTCACCCCCTCCTCTCTCTCTCTCCCTCCTTTTTGCGTGGTCTTTCTTCCCCTGTCTCTCTGTGCCTCCCCCTCTGTCTCTCTCTCTCTCTCTCACTCACTCACTCACTCACTACTAATGGACAGTTACCATTCGGCTCATTCAGCGGACAGTCAAAGAGGACAGACTGGCAGGCAACTGTGCAGTCCCCCCCTGCTGAGACACATGAATGTGTTGTGAATAAAGACAAAGCCCCGACCAGTGCAGAGCATTACTCCGGGAAAAGGCTCTGCACCGATGCTCGATGCTCCCGCACTGCTGCTCCGCAGGCAGCCACGCAGCCAGGCTGCAAGAGGGGCACGGTCTCCTTACCCTCCCTCCTAGGAACGTGCATCCATCGTAAAGTTTAGCTCAAGACTTTGCTTCCCCTCTAAGGGACCTAGATTTCTGCGGAGAGCCTTTGTGATTAACTGAACATCTTCCACGAAAGTATTCTAGGTAGTTTTCTATTACGGTAAACTTGGAGACCTAGCTCATCCCCGAGGTGCGGTCAAAGTGGCTGAATTTTCTAACTTTCAAAGATAAGGATCAGCTATGTTAGTCCCCAAATAAATGTTTTAGTGAGAGTGGAAGATGGATTTCTCTAGTCTGAGAATTCCCAGAGGGACTGAGTGGTTTGGGGGTTTGGGGGAGATGAGCAGACAAACAAACAAACAAAAAAAATCAGTATCTCAGAGGTGCCAAAAATAGAAACTGAGATAAACCTATAGTGAAGTTGATGAACGAGTCTGGAAGAACACAGTGCGAAGGAGTGAACAGAGTAAATAAATGGGACTCACTGATTTCCTATAGCTATCATTCATGTTTGATAACAGAAAAAGGTCCTATTTATATAGTTTGTGTTTTGTAGTTTTTGCAAGTATTGTTATATCAATAAATATAGGCTAACATATATCTTGCATTCAGGAAAGATTTAGGAGATAATAGCTTGCAGGTGTTTGCCTAAAGAAAGTTAGACTTTTTTTTTTTTCCATGTTAAAGGAGCTATTAGAAGCTACTGAACTAAAAATGTAGTTTGGGGTTGCACACCCTCAAATATTGGCTCCAACCAATATATACTATTAGTATGAGTTTTTTAAAGGGTCTAGTAATATAATTCAGACATTAGTTTTTGAAAATCTAGTTAAGAATACATTAAGATCAGATTTATATATGCCTAATTATTTGAAATAATAGTTGAAATAGCATATAAATTGATTTCTATCCCTTGTGACAATGAAGTCTGGAGTTAAGAGATCCAGGGTTGGTTGTGAGCTCAATGATCATCAGAGATCTAGACTCCTCCAGTAGTGTCCAGACGGTCACTGGAGCTGCAGTCACCAAATTTAGGAAGAGAGGCAAAAGAGAAAGTGTTCCCTATTTAAGGACATATCCTGAAAGTTACACATGTTATTTCTCTGACCAGAAATGAACCATATGGACAGAGGTAACTGTGTGTTAGCCTGGAAAATAGACTACCTATGTGAAATGACCATGAATGTGTCTCAAAATCTGAGTATTCTCTTGAGAAAGAAGGAGACAATGGAAGGGGGTGGAGAGCAGTCTGCCATAGTAGGATAAAAGATAATACATATTGTAAACGATACCACAACATCCACTGCACCTTTGTCCCATTGTGTAGCTGCAATATAATTTAGGGAATTGATTCCAACTCCAGCAGGAGACCCTGTTTTCCTCTAAGTCAATCATGGTAACAGCATCATACTTACAAATGATTGTTAGGGAGCTCAGGTCTGAACCATTCAGGGCATTGTATTTTCTTGATGGCAGTTATTTACTCAAGGATGGCATAGTTCTTAACACTGACCCAATCAAACTGAAGGGAGGAGAATTGTTCAACATGGAAGAAAAGATTTAGGATTCAGTTTTAAGAGGGATATGACAATTTGGGGACAATGGAAGAAATTGGGTACTTGAAGAAATCAATGAACTTTTGGATTAATCAACTGCAGCCACACTTGCTCTAAACTTCTGGTTATATATATTGATATGTCATAATTCCTATGTCACATGGATATGCTTCTCTATAGTAACCAAAAGCATTCTTAATTCCACATGAATCAAGCGCTATTATTAAGCATTTAGTATACGATTCCTTGTCCTCTATATATCATGTGTGAAATGCCATGGCTTACTGATATCTCTTTTAAGAAATTAAGAAAAGGAAATCTAAAGGACACATTAAATATCTACTTATACAGGACTTTGAAGCTTTCAATTAATTTGTTTGACATGGTCTCTAAAAATTTAATATTATTTTCTAATAAAATTTTCATTTGGCATTCCATTTGGCATATTATACATGCAATTTGTTGATGAGTCAGGGACATGTCACAAACTCAATAGATATAAATAACTCTTTGTTTTTTGTTATAAAAATTACTTCTCAGGATTTAACTAGAATAATAGGCTTTTCTGTGTACTTTTGCTCTTACTTCAGTGCATAACAAAACCCATCATATTTTAATAGCTAACAGTTGTCCATGAGCGTGTTTTCCCTAGCTCAAATCCTGCTGTAAGTATCTATAATATATGAACTCATAATCTTCTAAATTACTTTATCAGGAGTATGCTATAACAAATTCACTTTATGAATTACAGAACTCATTTTATGAAATACATTTTATTAATTACAGAGTCATACTCATAGCCACTGGCATAAGAAAAAATAGAAAATTAAAATAGTTACATGTAGATTAAAGAAATTTTTCATAATAAAAATTCTCTTCACAAACAAAAGAGAAAACTCTGACCCAGATGTTTGTACCTGTCAATTTAACATTCAAGAAAGAAATGACACCCAAACTTCACAAGCCTTTTCAGCGAACAGAGTAAGAGGAAACACTTCCCAACTACTTTTATGAAGGCAGAATTATCTCGATACCCAAACCAGAAGACATCACAAAAAGGAAGAGGACAAGCAAATATCTCTGATGAACTAAGATACAATAGCCCATAATAAATATTTGCAAAGAAAAAGAGCAATATATGAAAATGATAACATATTATGACCAAGAGAGTCTTATTCAAGTTTGAATTAATATTTAAAAACTAAATAATGTTATTTCACAATTAACATTATTGTGTGTTTTTTTTAAAGATTTATTTATTTATTTATTTATACAAGCACTGGGTACAGTCAGAAGCGTGGGAGGGTGAGAGAATTCACCAGAGCCAGAGCGGGGAGCAGAGCAGGCAGAAGGACCGAAGTACACTGCTGAGGGGAGCAGCGGGCGGCAGGAGAGGTCTGCGCGCCATGTGGGACCCTCCTCTGGTGGCCGGGGAGCAGCCAGGGATCCAACTGGTGCTGCAGAGGCTGAGGGCAGCTTGGCAACCCAGCGCTCAACGGCTGCGCCGCCTGGGAGACCCACAATTAACATTATTAAACAAAAATGTTATTGGCATCTTAATATAGAAAAAATGTCTGAAAAAGTCTATACCCATTCATAATAATTAATATTGTCTACTCTTTTCCATTTATTCAACTTTTTATTGGATGTTCAGCCACTACAATAATATAAGAAAATAAATAAAATAAAATAAAACCAGAATGGAAAAAAAGAAATCAAACTAACTTTATTATCAGTTAATGTGAGTAAATAGAATATTGTAAGAAATTTCAAAAATGGAAAGGTCTGAAAACTAGTGAATTTTTAACAGCGAAGAACACACTATGCCAGTCAATTGTATTTCTAAATACCACCAATAAAAAATTGCAAAGCTAAAGCATATATACATTTACATACCTATATACACACGTTTATCTATATACACATATATGTTCAACTTCTGTATTTTAAAATGGCATCAAAAGCTTAAAATACTTAATAAATTTAGCAAATAAATATAGAAAAATTTACACAACTATAAAATAACAAGAACACTAATTATATTAAATGTCCAATATGTACATGGAAAATGCTTAAAATCATTAGTTGTCTGGGAAATGCAAAATTAAGGCACAATGGGATGAATGCATTGCTTATTAGAATAATTAAAATGAAAGCACTGATGCTACTAAGCATTACTAAGTATGTGGACAAGCTGGAGCTCATACATCAGCATTTTGGAGTTGTTTGGCAACTTCTACACCATATAAAGCATGAATGATTTAAGAATTCCATTCCTGAATTTAACACCAAAAGAAATGAAAAGAAGTCTTGTCAACAAAAAGACTTAAACAGAGGAGACAAATACCAGGTGATTTCACTCATATGTGGATTCTAGAGAAACAAAACAAAGGAATAGACAAAACCTAGCCAAAACAAACCCTAGAAATCTTATTGCAAAATTAAGGCCACCCAATGAAGAGGGGAAAGATGAGGAGCAAAGTGAGCTGGGTACCCAATTGGCAGTGATGGAGGATTATGGGTGCCTGGGATGGATATGGTGTGGCAACAGATGATATTATAAACCAATATTATGCCAATAAAAATTAATTACATTAAAAAGATTTATATACAGACATCCAGAGAAACATTTTAAAAATAATCACCAAAAGATAGACCAAAAACATAATTTCTATCAACACACAACTAAACAAGTTGTCATATATCTACACAGTGGAATACTTCTTAGCAATAAAAAGGAATATACTACTGAAACATGCATTTTGCAAAAATTTCAAAATTATTATTCTGAGTGTCTAAACTGAATATAAGATAATACATTCTGTTAGATTGCACTTATATGGAATGAAAATGATTGTAACTGACAGAGAAAACATCATTGTTTGTCTGAACCAGATTTTCTGTGCCGTGGGAGAGATAGGGAGATATTGGCTGAAAATGACATGAGGACACTTTTTGGAGGAAGGAATTACAGTGATCTGTTTCCTAATGATGGGGATATGTTCTGAGAAATGTTCTGTTAGGCAATTTTGTCCTGGGAACATCGTAGAGTATAATTACAAAAACCTAAATGCTATAGCCTACTCACACATAGGGTGTACCTAGGAACCACGATCGTCGAAGTGATGTGCTGTTGACCGAAATATCGTTATGTAGCACCTGACTCTATTTTACGTTTTGATTGTAGTGGTGGTTTCCATGATTATATCCATTTCATCAAACTCATCTAACGATACCTTTAAAAAGATGCATGTTATTTTATGTAAATTATAGCTCAATAGTTGACTTAAGTGAATTGAGAGAGAAACTGAGCCATTGACCATTAAGAAACTTGCTTGAGATTACACCATTAGAAACCAGCAAATTGCATTTTGAGTCCTATTCGATTTCTTTTCCTCTTAACCATTTATTTATGCTGATGATGAGTTTTGAGATAATCTTAAGTTGCAAGATTGAGAAAGTTAAAGTAAGTGATAGGACCAGCAAAGAAGAAAAGAGAGAACAGTGTATATTCACCCGAACTAAATTTAGAATGTCGGTACCATTTAAGAAAATTTCAGGGATGAACTTCCCAATCAATCTTTCTCCATGGTTTCTTTCTGAATATTTCAACTCTTTCTTTAGATGATTGATTCTTATCCTCTTATCTGTAAACCTACTTTGAGTTTCTGCTGATTTGCGTTAGTCAGCTCAGGTTGCTATAAAAGAATACCATGGACTGTGTAGCTTGAGCTTCAGACATTTATTTCTCACAGATGTGGGTGCTGGCAAGTCCAGGACAAAAGTGCTAACATATCCTTGTCTGGTAAAAGTCCACTTCCTGGTTTACAGACAGACATCATGACCTTGTATCCTCACATGGGGGAAAACAGAGGAAGAGGTCTCTGTCTCCTTCTCTGTTTTTTACTTCAGTGATCCTTCCTTGTAGGCTCCACCCGTATGACCTAATCAAATCCTAATTATTGCCCAGAGACTCTACCTCCTAATACCTTTCCAATCGGGGGGGTAGTGTTTCAAATATGAATTTTGGGGGAACACATACCCAGTTCATGATAAGTCATCCCTTCTGCTTCAAATAACTTAATTTTCCCATAAGTGCTCATGAATTACCCCTTTATAGATTTTTCCGCTTAAGAGTTTCCACTCTCTCTAGTTAGAATTCCCAGGAAAGGATATCTGATTGGATTAATAAATTTGGGTTAATTCATAATAACCTTATTATAGGTTGCAGACAAGAGAGAGATTGACTTTCTTTGGGTGGGATGCCCAATCATAGATCCATTAGATGTGACATATGTGATAAAGTTTGTATGACTTAAAAACATGATTGCCTGGATGGGATTATGAGTGTGGTAAAAGACATAATTAGCTTACCTAGCACAGTATATAAGTTTCAGTTTCCTCTGAAATTAATGCCTATATTTGTGAAGGGAACACACACACACACATTTATAAATTTATATATACACACACACATACATATATCTATAAATTATGTATGCAAGCATATAGACACATATATAAATATGCAAATATAAAGAAATATATTTCTCTTGGACAGTTGGTATCCTGACTTTATGTTTATAGTTCAGGTAAAGACCTCATCTTACCATCCCCTTTTCTCATCCTATTTATGCTTATTAAATTATTCCTTTTTTGTGACTTTCAAGAATTTGTGCATGTACTCAGACACAAAGAAAAAACTTAATTCCTCTTAGATGTTATTAAAAAAAAATGGAAAATGTTCTACCTGTAGTTTTTTTTTTTTTTTCCCCTTCATGGAAGTAGAATTATTTAGAAGATTGTGCTTAATTTTTCAGCAAATCTTAAAGGATACTGAATTTAAATTTGTAGACCCATCCCAAGCTGCCAGCACTTAAAACTCCTCCACAAGTCAAATTACTAAATGATGACCCATAAATAGATAATTAAAACAACAGAAGAGGCTGATAAGTGAGCATTAGTCATGCCCACTGAATGGGGTAAGCATAGTTCATCCCACTCAAAATTCTGTTTAGCAAATTAATTTCTAATATCATTAAGGAAAACTCATCGTTGCATTGCTCTCTTAAATTTTTGTTTGTTTTCTGAATAATGAAGAAAAAC